TTGTTTGGATAATGCACATTCCATATCACTGTTGCTCTGCACTATTATATTGCTCCTTTTCTCTTTGCCTTTTCTTTGGTTGGAGGCAGAAGCCATGGAAGCATTGTGTCACTGTTCACCACTCCTAATATCCTGTTTAAGGAATAGGTACACATTTGCGAATTCAAACCATGTTCCCTGATTTTGTCTGCTCTATCTCTTATTTTATCAGGTTCTTAAATATGCTAAGACAAACTATTGGCTTTAAATAGTGGAATTACTAGATTTAGGTTCCACCCTACATGCCCTGAGCTTAAATATGGTAAGCAGGATAGGAAGACCCCTTTATGACCTTGTAGAAGATGAAGATCATCAGCACTCCAGTAGTAGCATTAATCCTTGTGCTTGAAGTGAAATGTCACAAACATGATATAGCCAACATCACTATGTTGCCCTGATGAAGTGACCCTGCATGGCCCCAAACCGTTGGCTATATCATGTTTGTGACATGCTGGTTAACTATCACTGTGAGTTCGAGGTGCAATCTTGTATGTGGCATTTTTTAAAAGCTTAATTTAATGTCTCAGAGTCGCAACAGGAAATAAGATTATATTCTTTAAACTGAGTTTATATCCACCACAGTTGCCACTGAAGATTTCCCCTCACCTCCTGTTCCTACAAAAATGTTGGATTTCCTATTGCTTTCTGTCCCAGAGACAATGGTCATTTGGACCAATAGTGATGGTAAGTCTCCCTAGTAGGGACACGGTAATGAAGAACTGACAATTATTCTAACCCTTCCAGATTCAATACAAAACAAAATGAAAAATGTTCAGCTTTACATAAACTTTAAAGTGACCCTTCCAGTATAGGATCACTTTTACTTATAGTACCACTTGTAAAAGAAGAAGTAATATAGTTACATTTCCTTTGTATTGAGAAGCCACCACATCTCCGCTTCCCAGCTGCTGCAAGTATTCAACTGTTGGATTCATATACTGCAAGAAGAACCACAGTGGATGGTGGTGCAGCAAGTATTCTTTACACCTGGAAGACTACTGTAGATGTAGTGGCTGGGGATTAGAGAAGCAGCATCCTGGTAAACATAAGTATATTACTACTTCTTTTACAGGTGGTGTATTGAGAAAAGTAATCATGTGGAGACAAGGTCCTTTCAATGACTTTCCAAGTATGGGCCTTCTAAGAGTAATTTCATGAAAAAAAAGGGTCATCTGTATCAATGTAGCCCAACTGTACTCCAATCTTCATATTGAATCATCATTGCATAAAATTAAGGTGTCATGGATATAATCTGCTCTGATAAAACCGAGCTTGATAAACACCAGAAATGTGTATGTGTTAGACCTTATAGGATAAAAAAAATAGTAATGTCCCTTTTAATATTGACTCCATCTTTTATTGGAGGCATCTTTTGCCATGTCTTATGCAATAAGCATTGAAGCCTTGCGGCTTAAGACTAGTATTAACAATGTCCCATTGGGCTCCCTAGCCACTGGGTTTTGAGTTGCTGCAGTGCTGCTCTACAGTGGGTTTAATCCTTTATCATACTGACTAGTCCATTATAAGACCAATTCTATTGTTTCTTTTCTCATTCCCATGGGCCAATTTATGTCTGAAGGTTTTAAAATATGCTTAGTTCTATCTTAGCTCATTGGATACAAAAGCGGTTGTAAAACAAAATAACAATGCTTCCACTTTTATTATGGTTTAGAGTACAATGAAAATGAAACATCAATATCTACTACTGAGCAGGCTGAATACCAATTTCTACTAGGGCTGATGTTGGCTATTAGTGTGATAGTATTGCCATCCACTGTGTAGTGATCTATTAGATTTGTAATTACTGTAATAAATTATGTAGGGATTTCAAAGGAGATAAATACTAGGGAACAGATTATCAGGGACTTAGTGGTGTAGTTAGCAAATGTAAAAGAATCCCAATATAAACAGCTTACTACAAAAAATGGAGCATTTGTTTTTCTCATCCAGACAAATACTTTCTATGCATTGATATCTTTCTTGTTAAAGAAAACAGAAATGTTTCCTGTTTACTACACCGCTGTTAACAAATAATAGTGAAAATACTTTTCCCAAGAATTGAACATATAAAAAAAAGAACCAAATATGTGTAATAAAATCCAAACCTTGAGAAACGTTGTACTCGATTAAGTTAAAACTGCAGAAATGGAAACTAGAAGAAAAGCAGAGTTTTAATAAATCAGCCCTTTTGCATCGTCTCTAGGATCCTATTATAAATGTAAAGTATCTTGCTGCATTTTACTATTGCATATGTAGTGTATAACCCTGGTCCATTTACATCTTGCAAAGAGTTTGTTAGTGGCAGCACAGTACAAGATGAGTTTGATATCATTCTTGCAATTTGCCCATACTAATTTTTTCTATGGTTTGGGAAAAATTGCTAAGCATACCAATCGGTCAAAATGTCAAACTTCACAGTCTGTTAGCTTTTAGTAAATACACTTATTCTTGGCATTTTTTCTACTTCTTTTTGAACCTTAAGCAAATACATATTATTACTGAAATCCTAAACAGTCAGCTCTGCCTATGATCTCCCCAGCTAGACTACAACCCCCCGCCCCCCTCCTGGTTTGAAGATTAGGAGCAGTAAATGTGCTTGTTGTACAGCAGGGAATAACTCGGGCAGGAAGAAACTGGATTTCTGAGAGGATCAACATATATTTTTCTGTACTTGCAATTTCTTAAAAGAGACAAAACACAGGTATATGTGCATGTATTGGTAAGATGTACTCATTTTTCCCCCAGACATAGACTTTAAAGAACAACTTCTGGAATTTTTTTCTATTAACCCTTGCAGTGGGGCTACCCCCACACTGCAACTGTTCATTGCTCGTTTTCGTCTAGGGACTAAAATAAAAAATTAGGGATGCACCAAAATTTCAGCCGCCAAAACATATGGTGAAAAATGGCACATTTGGCAAAATTGCATCCATAGTTTCTCTCATCCCCGCTGTGAGTAGGCTTGTTGTTAGACCGATCCTTCCAGCGTCTCTGTGTATAGAGCTTGATATGACTCACTGGTCATCAAGTTCTATACGAAGTGTATAGGACGTGAGGACGCCGAAGCACATACCATCACTGCAGTGGAGGAGACAGGTAGGAGGGAGCACTGTGACAACTGACCGCCTCTGAAGGTCAGCTGAGTATAACTTTTTTATTTTAACCACTAGACGAAAACAAGCAATTAACAATTTTTTTATAATTTTTTTTCCAAGAGTTCTTCTTTTAATTTTCTTCTGCATGTATCTGGTCTAAATTTAGTCAGTTAGAGCATTTTAGCCAGTTATAAGCTCTTTAAACTTAATTTGACATATCACGTGAATTTATTTTTTAATTGAATAAATAATTCATGTTTAATACATAAAAATATAAGCATTTTTTTTTCTTTACAGTCTAAAAATTGTGATGTACTTTCTTTTCATTAATTGGCTACTTTGACATTTATGCAGTAGGAGCTTTCTGTCTTGTGCTACAAAATGTTCTTTGTTGAGTCATCGGGCTTGAGCTGTAGCATCTTTTAATACTTGTACATATCTATAGTGATGTTTTATACTGGCATATTGATGTATGCTTTGTGCTCATTAGCTGTTTTTACAGAGAGCCAATTTGTACAATAACTAAAGATACATCACACACTGGCCTTGAAACGATATATGATAGAAAACAATATACACAGCCCATGTTTAATTCTATCCCTGTTCTCCACTGGCTTTTTAGATATAGGTCACCACGCAAGTGGAGCGTATGAAGAATCCATGAATCTGGGATTCCTAATTTCATCTCCTGAGGCCGCATTTTGAGTGACTAAATTATCTAGTCATGGTTGTTCTATTTTTAGTGAAGGTGGCCTCTGTGTTTGTCTTCAGCATCAATACCAAGACCAAAATAAAGATAACTTTGTCCACATTTTTTTCTTGATGCCCAAAGGGATAATGTACACACTTAAAAAAAAGTGTTCCTGATTATCTGCATTGTGTGATGTGTATTCTGCATCATACACATCACATTTTCCAGGACTTAAGCCTTAAACACAGCAGACATGTGTCTAAAGGTAGCAGAGCTAAAAATGTGCCTTTTGCTCTGTAGTTATAGGCCACACGTTTTTCTCATCATAAGTAGAGCTACAGTCAATATTAGCTTATTGCATATTATCACATCTGTAAGCCAGACAAAGACCAGTGAAAGAAAAAATGGTTCTTTGTAACAGACGTGATCCTAGCAGTAGGGTGTTCCTTTGGGAGCCCAAGGTGGCCAGCCTACAGTCTCCAATGGTGAAAATCCACCCTTATGGAAGAATTATAGGGTAAGTGAAAACACTCATCCCCATAATTCAAGCCGATCTGTGACACTGAAGCTGTCACAGGTCCGCTCTATTGATCGGGAAGTCAGTAAACACATACTGCTGATAGCTGACTTCCCGATCCTCTCCCTGTGGAGAGTGATGGCTGTCAGTCACCGCTCCCCGCAGGGATTCTCTTCCGCTCTCTCTATTCGTCCAGCACTGACGGGAGAAACAGACAGGGAGGTCTGACAGCTGGCTCTCCCTCTAGATCCAGCGGGCTGAAAGTGTTTTCGAGACTAGGGGAGGCTACTGGAATGACACAGTAGAAAACACAAGCCACCAGAGGATGAGTATACTGTATTTTCTTTGCAGAGAATTTTCAGCTGTATATTTTAAGAACCTGAGAGGGTCACTTTAAACAACTGTGTGAAAACATTTAAATTAGAACTTTTGCTAACACAATTCTCATTCATCTTTGTCAGATTGCTGAGGAATTGTTAAAAAATATTGTGGTACATATGGCCACCCTAAGGTGTGTATGTGTGTGCGTTACTATAATATATTTAATTACTGTTCTACCCATTGTATATATTTTATCAGTCATAATTCTAGATCGAATCTTGTTTTCCTTGTCTTGAATGCACTGAATTATCCTTAACCTCTATTTTGTTTTTTATAGGCGCTTAGTGGACCGGTTAGAAGACATGAAGAAGGCAGTAACTGGGGATGGTGTAGAACGGTGCATTCTGTGTGGGGAGACACTAGGATTGCCAGGAGCAAAGTGTGTTGTTTGTGAAGACTGCAAAAAGGTTATTATTGTTATTCACTTTTTTTTTACATATTTAAATCGACAAATATAAGATCTTTTTTTCAAACAGTACCTACAGACAAAGGTTATATACTTGAGTAAGGACAAAAAAAGTAATCACCATTTCAGTTATTTACTCAACAAAACTATGAATAGATATAATGGTGTACTGTGGAAAAAGTAAGTACACCTTTGGAATTAAAAGCTGGTATTGCCCCCTGTAGCAGAAATAACTTCTGGAAGACATTTTGTATATAACTGCCCACCAGTCTCTGACATTCTCCATGCAAAATCCCTTCAGTTGCAAGATTTTGTTGGCCTCCTTGCATGAACCGCCTGTTTTAAAATCCAACTGCAACATTTAAATGGGAGTCAAATTAGGGCTTTGAATAGGGCAGTCTATAACTCTCTATTTCTTCTTTTTTGAGCCATTATTCGGTGGCATCCCAGCCTCCTGATTGGCTGGGAAGCCAGCTCCATTTTGTTTGGCCAGCTCCATGCTGATTGGCTGGGAAGCCAGCTTCCCAGCCAATCAGCATAGAGCTGGCTTCTTGGGCAATCAACAAGCCGGGTGGTAATGAAACGCCGTCAGGTGTTGATTGCATTTGCATAATGGACCTATGAGGTGTTAATAACCTCCCCAGAGAGACAGGGAGGAGGACTGGTCTAAAAGAGGTGTGACAGAGGCCATTTATGTTAAAATAGAGGAGCCAAGCTTGAATAGAGGTGAGGGGGAGGGGGGGTCGAGACATCTATTGTCTGCCACATACAATGCTGTTTTAACACCTCTCTGGGCAGGTTAATAACACTTCCAATTATGCAAATACAATCAACACCTGGTTGCGACTAACAGATTATGTGTATTGGAGCAACATTCACCATATTTTTTCCCAGAGAATTTTTGTACAAGTCAATCTGAATTGAGAAGCTGGTCGGATGTCCAGTGAAACGTCTTCAAGAAAAAAACAGCAAGTCCAGTTGCCTTGACTTATTTTTTTACGGATATTTGTTGATTGCCCAAGAACAAGATGGGAGGTGGACAATCAACATCTGTCTTGTTGACACATTCCATGGTGATTTGATTAAGGTAATATGTGTGGCTATAAATGTTGTGTTATGTTCCTGAAATTCATTAGAAGTGAGAAAGCTACTTGGATGAACAGCAACATGTCTTGAACATTATAGAACAAATTAATTTTAATGTGTTGAATGTAACTAATTACTACTAGGTATAACATGACCTTGATAAATGAGAACCTCTACAAATATATAACTGTTTCTAAATATTTGTCATAATTTTATTGCTGTGTACACATCATTTGTTTACTGTGATAATGTTTTATATTGTGTAGCATAGTGTTATAACATGGAAAACTTTTGCATAGCCTCTAAATATACATTGTTCATGAATGTTTTGTTCGAAAGTTTTCTTTTGTCAATTAATCATATTTTTTATTTTTACAGAATGTCTGCACAAAGTGTGGAATACAGACCAACAGTAGGCCTCATTCCATTTGGCTCTGCAAAATATGCAGTGAGCAACGTGAGGTAGGTGGGGTATATACAGTATTCCAATAGGTTTAGGTGCACAGACATTGGAACCTTTAAATGTTGAAAAAAAATGCCACATATTTCTTGATTCTCCTATTTCTGGTTATGGCTTATGTGCCAAAAAGCACAGAGAGCTTTGGTGGTTCTGAGCTGTCCTATTTCCAAAGCTATACTGCAGGCAGATAATAAAGGCTAAAGATTAATGCAGCTCCTGTATGTATCTATTAATCAATCATTCATGAATACAGAACCTTTGCAATCCCCTATGCAGCAGCACCTAGACTGCATTGGGTGAGGGAGGCAACACAATGTGCTAGTCAGGTATGATGCATGTAAATCTACTGACAAGGAACATGCAGATGGAAGAAGAGGGCTGGCTGATTGTACTGTGTGGCAGGTGTGTGTAAATCTCAGGACTGTATTGACAGAAACCCAAATCCAGCTAATCTGTGTATTTAGCTTTATGCCTGGAGTTTAGCTTTTCTCTTTGTTAGAGTAAATATTTCCTTACATGAGTTTTACATATTTTAATTTAAAACCCCTACCACTCAAATGTGTTTTATTATAAAAACAGAAGCCTACATTGCATACATGTTCAAATATATGCAAAAGCTACATGACCATATGAAGGAGTGGACCTGTACCCCCTTTGGTTAAAAATCACATCAGCATGCAGCTCTGCATGCTGATATAAAATCATCTTACATTCATTAGTTAAACAAACATGTTTTTTATTTACTTACAATGTCTTGTTTTTCCACATCCTGGTTCTCTTTGGCAAAAGTGATGTAATCTGTGCCCGAGCATTGCATCCTGGGAAGGTTACATCAGCAAATTGCTGGTAAATCTGTAATCTCACAAGATCTCAGGGAAAGGCATTTTCCTCCCCTGAGATGATGTGCATAGTCACATGTCTAGTCACATGGGCTAGAGTTCCATGACGTAAAGGGAGATGGATTCATCTGCCCTTAGTAAAAATGGTTACTGTCAGAAAACTGGGGAGGAAAAGAGAAATAAGGTATGCAAAGGATACAAAGCCGGCAATTATCTAGAAGTATCTGTTTGTATATTGTCATTAATAAACATGTTATTTTGAAGATATGGGTAAAAGTCCTCTTTAACTGAGTCATCCTACTGTTATTAATGAGGGCACCAACAGTGGTATAAATATAAGATTTAACTGGAATGATAGTAAGCACTTGGTGAATGACCTGCCATTGTGCATTGCCAGTGGTGTGTTTCAATTGATGAGCATCAGCAACTGTTTCTGTTTTTTTTTTTATATGGTACAGGGCCACAGTGTTAACATAGCGAAAACATTTCAGTTTCTACTATGTCTAAGTTTCTAATGTCTAGGTAGTTGCCAATTAATGTCATTGGACAAGAAACAAGACAAACAAAATATGATTTCAGTATCAGTATCCTATCTAACTGGATAGGTTACTGAGTTAGATTCCCAAAACATAACAGTACCTTTCTGCCTGCAGGTATGGAAAAGATCTGGGGCTTGGTTCTTCAAGGGCTTTCCGAAACATGAACTTCCGCCGCCGATGCCAGTGAGCAAAGCTAAAATGCAGAACCCTGCAAGTGACTCCACAACATCAGAGGCCACTGCTTCAGAGCAGAAACGCTACCCTCGTGCCCATGGTCGAGGTGAGAAAGCACTGTGATTTGTTTTATCAATAGCGGGCAAGGCAAGCATTCATATCAACGGATATTGAAACAAAATCCTCTTCTGTTGACCGTCAAACACATTGAGGGGAATTTAATGAAGCTGGAGCAGAGAACATCTGTGCAGGGCAAGCAATCAGCATCCACCTTTCATTTTCAAAGCTTGACTCAACAAACTAAAGAGAGAAGCTGATTGGTTGCCATGGGCAACTGCTTCAGAGTTGGTCTGCTCCAGTTTTGATAAATTCCCCCCATGGTGCGCTAAAATTACCATTCGCACTAAAACATTATATGGTTTACTTACCCCATATTGAGTTGTCTGTTCACTTTGCAAGTGAATTTGACCTGGCAAGGGAATTTTCTTAGCTTAATGAATGAGATGAAGCTCTGTTGACTTCCATGATCCAATCATGTGCAAGTAAATATTGCAGTTTGTTTGGGTTTTTTTGCTTGCATGTGATTGGGCATTCTTTGCAAAAGGGAATTATTACCACTTTCACTAAGCTAAGAGAAACTTCCCTTACAAACTGAAAATTCCCTTGCCAGGTGAACAGTCTATTTGCCTCTAGTAAATCAACCCTTATGATTTAAAAGCATTTTGATGAGGAGCATGAATACAGTATAAGGGAAATCTCTTCAAATAGTTTGCCAAACGAGAACCACATTTATTGCTAGAATTTTATTAATTTGAGGAAAATTGTCCATCCTGCTTCTTCATTACTACGGTTGAAATTGATTGTCTATTTAACCCCATTAACTTTCAGCAAATTAAAAGAAGGTTTCGAAAACAATTTTTTTTCTGGCAAAATTCTAGTGTTGTCTAGTCAGCCTAACTCTATTCTAAGAGTTTTGCCAACTTTAAATATATATAGCAAGGAACAGTTGCCATTTTTGTTGTAGATATATGGACATCCCGTGATCTGTCTGTAAACACCTGCAGATCAGACATTCTTTCTCTACTGTCTGGAAGCATTGTAAGGAATTATAGACTATTTCTACTTTATAGCAAACAATTTATGCACGCCAGTTTGTAGAAGCCTACCTAAGTCCTTTAGTTACATTTATTTAGATTCTATTTTGAAGCTATAACTTCTTCTAACATTACTGATAATTAATGTTTTGAAGGTCGAGGGGAGAATACTACTCAGCCAGACCAACAATCATATGGTAAGTGAATAACTGTGAAAACAAATCTATACGTGCACATACTGTAAAATGTATTATTGTGATTTGGCTTTTATGTGACAGATTAGTAATTAGCAACATAATTAATTCTGACTACAAGACGGTCTCTGTAACTGTGGATTGGGATTATTGCTATGGAAACCAGGGCTAATTAATTTTTTCAATGGACCTGCAAGAGTTTAGCCTGTTCAGCAAAAGGAAACATTACATGCACATCCCTTTACAGAGGATTTGTCTAATATCTTAAGCCAATTTCTGCTCTGGTGTTTGGTACGCAGTTAAAAATTGACATTGCTCATACATAGTAAAAGCTTCATATCTGATTCCCATGTGCATAATTTGGGAATGATGAGAGACAATTGAAGAAATTAGTTTTTGGATTTGGATACCAATCAGAGCCTCTATTCACATGCAATCATCAACATATAGCAATTTGCAAGGCAAAAGAGGAATTGTGGAAATTAGAAACAAGAATCAGGAATGCTTGAGTTGGACATCTGTTCTGTCATCAGTATGAATGTCTAGTTGTAGACGAGATACAATTTCCGTAGTGATCGTGCCATAGCTTTGACATTCTGACAATTACATTTATACCTTTTGTTATTCATTCGTTTGCACCACAATGCTTTTCTACATATCCTGCATATAGAGTGATAACATTCTGAACAATAGTTTAGGGAACAGGCTGAAAATTCAGTATGGAATTCACAAAAAGTAAAATAAAACGAATAAATAAATAAGTAGTTCAGTTTTAAAGGGCAAGCTTCAGCCAGGCAAGCTTTGCTGTATTACACAATGATTATGCCCTACTACTTCTGACAATGAAAGTCTATGAGTTGGTCAAGTCCTAGAGAACTATGCACTCCATGTGTGTCTGGTATCTTATCTCATCATGTAAAGCAGTTAGGCAGAGTCATTATAGTAGCCAAAACTAACAAAATAAGTAAAGAAAAAAATGTGAGGCTAGGTTCACACCTAGTCGATTTATCACATCGATTTAGCCGCGCGATATCGCACAAAACAGAGATCTGCATTCAAGTCTATGGAAGCTGTTCACAACTTTGCGACTTGTCGGTAGAAATTGCCTGACGCGCGAAAAGGTGCAGGAGCAAAATCGTGCAAACAAAAAATGTACAACAATCAAGCGAAAACAGTTTGCGAGCTGAAATGCCTAGGTGCTAACCTAGCCTAAAAGCCACACCAAAAATTACCTTAAAATAAACACAGCAGTCATAACTCAAAATATGTTCTCACGGAAAATACATTATACTTCCTTACAATGCACAACCCTTCCTATCATCCCACTGCAACCTTGCTTTTACATACAATTTTCACAGTGCTTCTAGGTAGGAGTTCAGTCTCTTGTCATTAAAGTAGTATTACACCATCAGCTCTTTTCACTTTAGCACTGTGGTACACCAAACACACTTTCATAATATAGAATTTTACCTCACTATGCCCCCCATTTCAAATTTTCGTAGCCCATCATCTCAATGGCACTGCCCTGAATTTTCGGTTGGGGAGTGCACAGTGATAACATCAAAATATAGTCACTCCTGGCAGGGAGCATGTACCTAAGGGTGGCTGTGCTGGAGCTACAAGTTTTTCTGCAAGGCAGTGCAGCCACCCTATAGGTGGAAGTGAAGGAGAGGGTTTAATAATACTTTAATGGTTCCTCTACACAGTACTTGGAAACCCTATACCTTCATTTTCCTTGATTTATGAGCGTCACAGAAATGTAAAACCCACAGGGATTGAGCAAACAACATAGCCAACTACACAAGATAAATGCTAGGAGGAAAATCAAAGCCACCTAATATGTAGGTCATGGCCCCTTACTTAGTTGAAAGTATATTTCTTGAATATATTGCTGGACATTAAAGGTTTTTGATGCATGGTATGTTTACATATAAAATGGTGTAACTGTTCCCTTCTTAATGTTACAGAATTTTGTCTCAGCTGACAAAGATGAAGTCTTGAATCCCTCTTGAATGCCTGTTACTGCAATTCTTCTCAATACGTCTTTACATGTGTATCAATGAATGGCACACATGTAGAATCGTGCTGGGGACCCTTGGTGAAATGCACCTGGACTAACACTTTTTATGTATTAACTTGCAAAATGGATTCGTCACAAAAAAACTGTTCACATTAATCAACACCGCACATGTTAGGATTAACAAATCACATTGTTATGCTGAGTACAAAAATACCACTTTATTGATACGAATTTAAAACTGACCTTAGAGCCCAGGCTAAGATCCTGACCAGAATAAACACTGAGTGGCCAGATTATTATGACCACCTGATGTTTGTAGGCTAATTAGCTATAATTTCACGCTGAAGTTGCTAGAGGGCCAGACCATTATAAATAGGGAAGCAGGTTGTTTACCACGACAGTAGAAGTGATTTTTTTTCTGAAGAAATGGGTAAACAACGCGATTTAACAGCCTTTGAACGTGGGATGATTGTTGGCGCGAGTATCAGCAAAACAGCAGAATTTGTTAAATGTTCAAGAGCAGCTACTGTTAAAGTGTTTAAAGACTGGACTGTCTGCCGAAAAGCTGGGTCTGAACGTGCGAATTGTGGCCGTCAGCAACTAGTAAATGTTAGGGCAGAACGGAGAGTGGCAAGACTGGTACAAGACAACAGAAGGGCAACAGTGCAGTGTCAGATTCCTTGCATCACCTTTCAACATCTCGTGGAGTCATCTCGTGGCCCAACGAAGTACTGATGGGGTGGTCATTATAATCTGGCCACTCAGTGTATATTGTCTTAAATCAGACAGACTCTGTCTGTTAGGTTTGCTTTAAGACAAAAAAAAAACAGCTGATTTTGTGTATGCCTCTTCCATGTCCATTTAAACTTACAAATTAGACAAACAAGGTTTCCAGAAAAAAACAAACCTTAGGCTGAACATTTTTAAATATACCAGATAAAGGGGGCATTTCCTATAGTTATGCTGCTGTGAAGAAAGGTAATAAAATAGTTGCTGGACAGGTGACTATACTGGTGGAAATTAGTGGTAATAATTGAACTTTGTCACCTACTCAGAGAAGGTGTAGCCTTTATATTCAGTCTGGCGGGATCAACTGGTAGGATTGATGTGACACGAGGGAACATTTGCAATACTAGGATGTGTATGTAAATAGTGTAAACTCTGTATGCAGCCTTCCATTCACACTTTTTTTTAAAAATATTATATGGATGCTGTCAGTTGCAGATTTCTGTATGGTTACCAGGAATTGATGTTGCCACTCAGAACAGATATTACAAGAGTTTAGATTAACCACTTCAAGACCAGGTGTTTAGACCCCCTTCCTGGCCAGGCCATTTTTCAGTGTTCAGCGCTGCAGTACTTTGACGTTTATTCCGCCATGCAACGCTGTACTGAAATTAATTTTATACCATTTTTTGGGAACAGATAGAGCTTTATTTTGGTGGTATTTAATCACCACTGGGGTTTTTATTTTTTATTATAATTAGGAAAAATTACAGAATTTTTTTTTTACATTATGTTAGGAAACATTTATTATTAACCAGTTTTTTGGTAAAATATAAAAGATCGGGTCACGTCGGGTAAATAGACACCAAACATGTCAAGCTTTCAAATTGCGCGCACCCGCGAAATCGCAGAAAACTACCATACCCAAAATTGGCCATAGGCGACACTTTAAAAGCTTTTAACGCTCATCAGTTTAGTGATATCAGTGATTGATGGCCCTAGACTTATTGCTCTCACTCAGACGTTCGCGGCGATATGTAACATGTGCGGCGTAATGGGCGCAATCGTCTTTTTTGCACGTATGCGCCCCTGACGCATGTTTGCATGCGTGTATGTATGGGTGGGGACTTTAAAATTTTTTTTGTTTTTTTTATTCGTTTTTATGTGTAACTTTAAATTTGGGGGGGGACTTAAATTTTTTTTCCCCTTTTTTTCCCCCCTTTTTTTCCCCTTTTTTTCTGAGCGGATGTCTAAAGACGCCGGCTCAGATCTAGAGAGCTCCGGGCCGGCCATTTTTCTACTACGGCCGGCCCGGAGGCAGCTAAATAAAATATATAAATCATAATCTAATGCTATATAAGTGTATTAGCTATTTTGTCTAACTAAACCTGTCCTTTAAAGGAAAACTCAACTTTCATTAACAAATTAGTATAGCATATAAAATTGCTACATGAGCTATTTTGTCATTTATTATTGCTAAAAATTACCTTTACATTTAAATCTGAAGCTGCTGTAATTTTCTAAAATGTCTTAAAAAAACTATTCAGTACAATATGGCAACCTGGAGGTGTTCTGTACACCACTGGTGTATGTATTGCCTCCTAGAAATGTCCTTTTACTGCTTGTGTGATTGCTCACAGATTTTCCCAGAAGCCTGAACCAAGGTACAAATAACATTTTAGGCATCCTCTCCAATAGAAATTTTATTTTGGTGAGATGATGACAGACCCTGCAACTTTCCTCATTAGAAGAGGCGATTATAATGAGTGAGACCCTGCCATTCAGGAGTCGGTTAGAAAGGACTTAGTAAAACGAACAGCCTTTTCTTCAGAGGAGAAAAGTAGGAATTTGCAACAAAGTTTGTTAAAATCCTTGCAATGTACATTGATGGTGATTGTTTATTTTCAACAAAAGTGCAGTTACACTTTACCCTTTTACCTCCAGAGCCATTTTTTCATTTTGCACGCACATACTAAATTGCAAATTTTTTACATGAAAATGCATGTAAAACCCTAAAACATTATACGAGGGTTAATCAAAAAGTAATGCTTCCATGTCTGTAATTTGAGATTTATTAGAAAGACTGTGAATGATCATGTACCATGATATATAGGTGCCCTTACCCCATTGATGTATGCCTTCCTTTTTCAGATTGAACTTTCAATATTTTTATTAAGAGTTTTCACATAATATTTTTTTTACACAAAATGAAAAGTAAAGACAAAAAAATAAAAAAATTCAATTTTGTTTTACAAAA